TCCCCATCCCACCTCAAGGCTCCTTTCTTCAACCCTCTGGGTCTGGATCCCTGTCCAGTCTTCTCCCCCAGCTCCCTCCTAGTCCCCAGGGTCCAGGTCCTGGGTGGCTCTCTGTCACCGCTCCCTCCTGGCTCTCATCCTCAGCTCGGGGAGGCTCAGGGTGGGGCCTAAGCCCTGAGCCAGGAGGTCACCCAGCCCTTGCCCTGGTGTCCCAGGGCCCCACCTGGTTCTAGAAGCTCCTACCTGTGAGGGTAGTGAGGGGGCACCTGCGGGGAGGAGACACAGGGCGGGAGCAACTGCTGGTCAAAGATCTGCTGGGTGCACACATGACCTGCTGTGTACTGAGCCCCATTAATGTTTACCCAGGAGTCGAGGCCCCTGAGGGGTACCTGTCATAACCCCAGGTGCCTGCCTTGTCTGCATCCCACTAACCCCCTGGGGCAGGAGCTCCAGGCCCCTAGCTCATCCCTCTCAGAGTGGGGCTTCTCCCTGGCTGGGCCCTGAGCCAGGCCGGGGCTGTTGCAGGGCTGGGCATGGGCTCCTTCGTGCAGGACTTCCATGAGTAGACGCCTATGGGACATGACCAGACACTGCACGCTGCCCGCCCAGGGCAAGGCAGGATGCGGGTGCTCTGGCTGGTTGGCCTGGAGGCTCTTGGAAAGTTTCCCCAAGCTCTGCAGACCTTACTATGGTCATCCCTACCCGATCAGATGGTGGGAGGGAAGCCCTTTGCACTAGGTGGGTGGGGAGGGCCCCAGTCCCTAAAGTCATCCAGTTCAGATCTGGGCTCAAGGCAGGGCTGGGCCCAGCAGAGCTCCCAGTGGGCTCAACCCCAGCGGTGGGCGGTAATGGTGGAGGGTCTTGCACCTCCATCTACAAGTTGGGGGGGCAGGGCCCATCCCCAGGCCACCCTGCTGCCCAGCCCACTGCCCACCCTGCCTGGACCTGCAGACTCAGCCCATCCTGTTCACTTCCACAGGAGGATGATCCTGACTGGCCCCGTGGCTCGTGGGTGCCTCTCGGGGTCAGCCCCCTTCCTGCCGCCCTGCTGGGAAATGCTCCTCCCCCTCCCCCTTGGGCCTGGTCTCCCCAGGGGGCCTGCTGGCCGCAGCACCCTGGTCTAGTTGCTGCCCACCAATCGCTGTGTTCCTGGGGGACTTTGCCCCAGAGAAGGAGGAGGTTTCTGAGTGTCCTCTCAGCAAATTTTCTTGTCCCTCCCTGTCCGGCACCCACTGCCCAGGGCAGGCCCAGCGGTCCCTCCCAGAGGCTCCTGAGTGACCCTGTGGCAGTTCCTTTCCAGATGGGGCAGGGATGTCGCAGCCTGACCTGGGGGAGGGTCTGTGTCCGTAGCCTCCAGCACCTGCACTGGCCCCTCGGAAGGGTCTGTGTGCGGGCCACTGTGAGGCAGAAGGAAGCTGAGGACCCCGGGAAAAGGCCTCGTGGGGGAGCGGCTCCGCTGAGCTGTGCTGCCTCAGGCAGGCCCCCACCCTCTCTGGGCCTAGAGCTAGCCCGGCCCAGGGCCCTCTCCTTGGACACCTGTCATAGCAGGGGCTTTGTGCCTGTAGGAGACCCTCCCGGGACGGTGCCCAACACATAGCTGACGCTCAGTGGGCTTTGTTGAATGAATGAACTTCACAGGGATGCTTTGCAAGCCAAGGATGAAGGAGGTAGCTCTGTCTCTGCTCCGGCTCACACCTCTGGGACTTTTTATGGGGAAGGGGAGATGGGTTCCAGCATGAGCAGGCACAGACGTGGCCAGGCCCCGACCCTCTGGGCTGCAGCCGGAGACCCGTGGAGGCGTCTGAGCTGAGTCCGGGCCTGGGCTGGGCCTGCAGGTGACTCTTGACAGTCACACCCTCTTCCTGCACACAGTCAGGCTAGCTGGAGGCCCAGGAATCCCAGCCAAGACAAGCAGGAGGTCACCCGCTTCTCGCAGAGTCTCAGAGGACCGGGGGCACAGCCCCCAAGCTTAGGCTGTGATCTGGGGGAGTCCGTGTAGGGCAGCCCGCAGGGTGCTCTGCCCCCGGGCTGGTCTGGGCTGGCTGTGCTGCAGTTGGAGGTTCCAAGGTAGGGACACGCTGTGGGCAGCCTCTCCCCTGCTGTGAGGGGCAGCAAGCAGCACTCAGACCTCGGGGCTGCTGGGGGCGTACCAGCAGAGGCCCCTGCAGCACCTGGACTAGGGGAGTTGGGGCTGGGTGCCCAAGGTGGGACAGAGCCTGGCCAGCTGCTGAGCGATGGCAGTGCTGTCTCGGGGGCGCAGGGGGCCGTCCCCCACACGGGACGGCTCCCGCTCGGCCTTCACAGCCAGGAGGGCGGCCAGGTCGAGGTCCAGCATGCACCCCTCCGCGGGGTGTGGGTGTGCTCTCGTGGCACCATGGGCAGGGGACCCAGCACTGCCCGTGGGCCGGAGTGTCCAGGCGCCGCACGCACGCCCGGTTGAAGGTGTGGCCACAGTAGAGGCGGCAGGTGTCCCGCGAGGCCGTAGGCTCAGTAGCAGGTGATGCAGTCACCCCACCGGGACCCAGCGGTGTCCCCTCCTCGGAGACCCGGGCACTCTCTGGCTGCCGCACCCTGGGGGAGGCGTGCGGGGAGCTGCCGCCCACCCTGCCCGCCTCTGAGACTGTCTTGTGTGGTTGGGCCCTGACCCCAGGAGTCTGCCCCAGAGGACAGAGGAGCCTGGGCCTCTGCAGAGGTTGGGTGGTGCTGCAGAGGGTGGTCGGTGGCCGGCTGGGCAGCAGCCCATCCGGCTGTTTTGTCCCTCTCCATGACCCTCCTGCCCAGCACCAGCCCCCCCCCCCACTCCCCATCTGCCTAAGCCCCAGGCCTCTCTTGCCTGCATCTGCTCTGCTGGGCAGCTATGCCCAGCCAGAGCATGTCCGGGGCTTGGGGGGGTGGGCCAGGGCGCCCTGCGGCTCCCTCCTTGGGGCTCACATTACTGGCCGAGCACGGACGAGTCAGCAAGGAGGCAGGTGGTGGCTGGAGGCAGGCGTGGGCTCCCGTTTCAGCCACAGAGTGCTTGCAACTGGATCCACCAGCACCACCCACCCGTCAGGAGATAAGCCCCCCACCCCCCACCCCCATGCCAGGACCCAGCTCCACTAGTCCCCCACCCAGGCCTGGCTTCACAGCTCACCATGGTCCCTCTCCCCACCTGGGCCACCAGACCCACCTCCACACCACCCCTACTCTCCTGCTCCCCCAACTTCACGCTAGGAAAGCCTTCTGGCCTTGACCTGGGGGATGCTTCTTCAACTCTCAGCTCAAGCATCACCCCTTCCAGGTAACCTGCCAGGACCCTCACTGGCTCAGAGCCCTGGGGTGTCCTGCTCTTCCGAAGCTCAGTCGCAGCGTATGTGTCCATGTTGATTTGTCCCAGCACCTTCCTCCTGCCTGGTCTGGGTCTGTCGTGCCCCCATTACAGGGCAGCGGCCAGCCCCGCAAGGTCCCGAGGCGGTGCTTAAGCACCCACTCACACACCCACTTAAGCACCCACTCACACACTGTGGCTAGCCCTGGTCGCCCGCATTACAGGCCACCTCCCCCCTAGCACCTGCCTGGCTATGGCCCCTGGGCCAGCACGGTGGCCGTGACTGCGGGCACAGCAGAATGGGGTGTGTCAAGAATGGTCAGGATGGGATCAGGACCCTCACTGCTCAGCTGGGTGGAAGCCAAGAACCAGAGGGGCTCCTCCTCCGTCCTACCACCCCGATAGTCCGCAGCTTCCCTGACCGGTCCATCGGGTTTCTGCTGCTGGCCTGGGTGGGGTCGTCCTCTGGTGGAGGCAGGCCATGGGGCCAGGGCCAGAAACCTGGCCCACCTGAGGGCCTGCACAGTCAGACCAATGACATAGCTACCCACACCCAGAGATAGGTCTTGCCTTGTGGACAGTCACCCTGGGTCAGAGGAGGGCTGGCACCAGGACCCGTCCATCCTGCAAGGCCAGCTCCGCTTCCTCCTCTGGCTGTCTCTGCCTGGCCCTGGAAACGTCAGAGTGCCCAGTGCGGGCCTTACCACTCGCTCCTTGCCCCAGCCTCCCCCAGCAGTGAGGCGATGCCAGCGTCAAGCAGCTTAGCTCCCCACACGTGCCCCCGGGCAGGCATGTTACGCTGCCTGGACAGATGGAAGATCTGTCCTCCGAGGAGCCTCATCGGCCAGCTCCTTTCCTGTTCCCCTCACTCAGGAGGGCTAGGCCCTGGAGGCAGGACAGCAGATGAGCAGCATGGCTTGGGTGCCACACAGCAGATGTTGAGGAATTGGACATTTCATGAGGAACCAGAAAAACACCCCGGTGAGGTAGGGCAGTGACTCACGCATGGGCAGGGCCTGGTGCTGGCTGCCTGGGTTCCTACTCCCAGAAACTTGCCAGAGTCAGTCCCACCTGCCACAGTCCTGCCAGGGTGACCCTCCTCCTGGAGGCCTCTCTCAGGCTCCCCCCACCCTACCCCGGCTCCATGCATAGCATCCTCCTACCGACTGACCCACTGCCTGACCTGTCTCGCAGCCTTGGCCTCAGCCCTATGGAATGCAAGGCAGCTGGAACCCAGGGCTGGCTGGGCCAGGGCAGGGGACACACTCCCACCCCTCTGGTCCAGCCTCTGGACAGACCTGAGACCCACAACATAGGGTGGCTTCCCCGCCCCTGAATGTCCCACAGAGGCCGAGGCCTGCGGTGTTGTGCAGCCCGGGACCCTCTTCCAGGGCGCAACAGTGAAGGGGAGCAACCAGAACAGAGCTCGCTCCGCTTTATTGCCTGGGCCATGGGCCCCGGGGGAGGTGGTGGAGGCTGTCCTCCGGGCCATCGCAGCCGGTGCCCGGGCCCGCTTGCAAGGGGCTGGAGCTGGGCGGTCGGCCTTCTCGGCAGGTAGGCGCTCCTGTGCAGGGTGCGAAGGGGCCAGTGCCCGTGCCAATGGGCCGGTGGCTGCCCCGAGGAGGAGGGCAGCACTGCGGCCGCCCAGGCCGCGGTGGGTCCTGCAGCAGCCCACGGCCTGGCAGGGGCTGGGCTAGAAGATGGTGCAGCAGCCGTGGCAGCGGCAAAAGCGAGGGCAGTGGCAGCAGGGACAGCAAGGGCAGCAGCAGCAGTGGTGGGCGATGTCGTCCCCACGCCCGATGGGTGGCCGGCCGGCGTAGGTCAGTGCTGCTGGGCGCTGCCCACTCCCGTGGGGGTTGCCGGGCTGCGGCCAGACCTGCTGGCCCTGGATCTGGGCAGCCCCCTTGGTCCCCTTGGCGCCTTTGCCCTCTGGGGCCTCCTCGGTGGGCTCTGAGGGGCAGGACCCCGCAGGCAGAGGCTGCGACCCCTGGGAAGAGGGAGCCACCTCCAGCTGCTGCCCCAGGTCGGGCCGCAGGTGAGCCCGGGGGATGCTGACTCGGGCATAGGGGTTCTTGACGACCGTCTCTTGTGGGTCCATGGCCCGGCCTGGCAGGGGCAGGCAGAGGAGACAATATTGGCTCAGGGGAGGAGAGAAGCTACAGCCCAAGAAAGCTACCCCGCCCCCCCCCCCCCCCCCCAAAGCCACCCCGGGGGGGCGACCTGCGGCGGCAGCTGGGGGGCGCTGGCCCCTCCCAGGGGGGGGGGGGGGGGGCGGGTGTGGGGCGGGGGGGGGGGGGTGCCACCCCCCAAAAGAACCCCCCCCCCCCCCCCCCCCCCCCCGTGGAAAAGCCAGGCTGTGGAGATGCCGCAGTGTAGCCGGCCTGTGTGTCAGCGTGCCCGTGCACAGGGGGGGAGCTCAGTGTGAGGGCCAGTGTGTCCCAGCCGCCCTCCCCGCACGGCCTGTGATGGAGCTGCGAATGGGCCGGGAGGCTGGGGGAGGCAGCTGGGCTGTGCCCATGGTTGAGCCCCAGTGCAGAGAAGCCCCTCAGCCCAGGACCCACCTGAAGTGGTGATGGCAGCCGTCGACCCTCTCGTCCTGTGGGCCAGGTCCCAGTGCCTATGAGGTAAGTAACTGGCAGCTAGCTGCCTTTTCCCTCCTGGGGAGGGGCGGGGCCATGGGGTGGAGCTCAAAGATGGGGTTCCCAGGATCCCAGGAGGCCCCGGCTCATCCAGCACAGAAGTCACCCACCCTTCCTCCTCTGGTGGGTGGTGGCCCCTGCTGGGGCTCCAAGGGGCACTGACTGCCCGGGTGACTCAGCCTCCACGCATCTGGGGCACGTCCTCGGCCCTCCAAAGGCCTGCAGCTCGCCAGGAAGGAGGGCAGGAGGTAAGCCTGCTGTCAGCCTCAGATCCCAGGCCATCGCTCACACACCTCGAAGCCCCTGCTTTGAGGCAGAGGACAGAGGTCCTCCCTTCAAGCCAAGCCTCTACCTGGCAGACAGAGACTAAGGTGTTTGAGAGCACAGCCTGCTTGGAGGTTTGCATTTGCAAAAAAGGTTTGAATTACACACCTTTGCTATAACTATTCTTAAAATTGGCGATGTACAGGGGCTTCATTGACAAGTGACTCTTCTGGCTCATTTTTTAAAAATATTTTACTTATTTATTTATTTATTTAAGAGAGAGAGGACAAGCAGGGGGAGGGGTAGAGGGAGAAGCAGGCTCCCCGCGGAGCAGGGAGCCCGATGTGGGGCTCGATCCCAGGACCCTGGGACCATGACCTGAGCCGAAGGCAGACGCTCCACCGACTGAGCCACCCAGGTGTCCCTTCTGGCTCATTTCTGAAACTGCAGTTTCCCTCTCCTTGGTGGGCTCGCAGACCGCAAACTCCCCACCTCACCAGCGTCTGCATCCTTGGAACTCACACCTCCTCCCACCTTCATCTGTGAGGGGGCAGGTAGCACCTGCCACACAGGGTCGCCTTGTTTTGTGGTGACAATGGATGTGAGCACTCGGGTCTGGGCCTGGCACTGGTGATCTTCCCCCAGAGCCATCTGGGCGGTAGGGTGGGGCCGGGACACGCACCCCCAGTCCTTGGTGCCCAAGGGAACCCCCAAGGAAGGGCGGGACCAAATCAGACGTGGCTCAGAGGCCGGGGGGACCGGGGTGGCCTGCATGAGGCCAGTCAGACCGGTCCGGGCACGAGTTCTACAGATGTGGCACCGGGTGAGGAGGGAAGTCCTCCCGGGGCCCGGGACTTCGCAGGTGTATGACAGATGTTCATTGCGCAGGCTCCAAGAGCCCCGCCCACTGCCCCTACAGACTCCGCCCCTTGCTGCGAGGCAGAGGCTGGCGCATGCGCGCAACAGGGGCGGCCGGCGAGAACTTTATTCCCCAGAAGCCTCCGCGCTCAAAGGTTTCTCTAAAGACCCGGTTCGGGGTCCGCTGGCCTTGGACGGTCCAAAACTCAGCCTGGGCGGCCCAGCTCTGACCCGCAGGGCTCCGGCTCCGGGGGCGTGGACTTGGGCGGGCTCGGGGAGGTGGGCCTGCACGGGGCGGGACCTCATGTCCAGGGGCGGGGCCTCAGGGCAAGGGGTGGGGCCTGGTGGCCGATGCCTCCTTGGGTGCGCGCCCAGCGGGTCGCTGGGAAGTTGAGCAAAACTGGAGACCGAGGCTGGCTTCCTAGCCCTCCCCTGGCCGGGGCTCTCTCAGTTGCTCCACCTTCACGCCAGAGCCCATTAGGGCCTCGCTGCCCATCCTGCCGGGCACCTGCTCACCTGCACACCTCCCACACCCGCTCTCGCTAAATGGCTTTGGAAACTGATCCCGAGGTCGCACAGAGCTGCAAAGTACCCCTATGGCACACGTTCGCTCCTCCAGTCTGTTTTGCCCGCGTGGGCTTCCTCACCAGGAATAGGGACCTCTCTGGGCTCTGCTGCCCTGAAGGACCCCTGGGCAAGGCCTACAGCCAGGTGTGGTCAGGCCTGTCCAGAGGAGAGGGGCCTGTGGCCAGAAGACGCTGAGCCTGTCCAGGGTCAGGCACAGGGCCCGGTGCCGGTCGCAGGAATGCTAGCATGCCATGTAGGAGTGGGAGCAGGTCAGGGGGTGGCACTGCGGAGGCCCCCCACCCCGCAGCTGTGGTCCCCTGCCCAGTAGTTGTCAACATGTTCTCTGCCTTTTCTCTCAGCTGAGGGCTCCCCACAGGCAGAGGGTATATCCCAGGGAATCAAGGAAGCCTGGCTTGAGGAGGAAGCAGAAAGGAATGGGGCCTCTATGCTGGGTGGGGTCAGGTTAGCACACAAATATGTGACAGCAGGGCACGTGCTGACCTGGTGGGGTGCCGGAAAGGGCCACCCCACCCTGGGTGCGTGTCCTCCGTGGGCTGCCCCGCTGGCCTGTCCAGGTGTCTGCCTGACCTGCACCCTCCACCCCACCCATCTGTGCAGCGTTCTTGCCCTTGGAGTCTTCTCCCAGCTACTGCCCCCCCTCTCCATCCTTGAGTATCTTGCTCACCCTCTACGGTCACCTCGTCCTCGTTGAGTCCGTCCGCCTTGAGCACAACCTGGGTGCGCTTGTGAGCGGGAGGCATGCGCACTGGGGACAGAGTGGAAGGACAGGCAGAGACCCTGACTCTCTGGGGGGACACGGGCGGTCTCCCGGCGGGGTCTGGTAGCCAGCTTCCCCGAGACCACCTCTCTCCGCTCCTCTTGCCTCCCTCCCTCTGGCATTGTGAGGCCCCAGGCTTCGAAGAACAGGATTTCCCTTCTAGAACTGGAGGTGGGGATCCCTGACTAGGACCCAGGGTCGGCCAGGCAGGACTCGGGGTGCGGGGGTACTGGAGAGGGGCAGCGCGGGGGTCCTGGTCCACACGCGGCTCGCTGGGGCGGGCAACCCCGGGAGCCGGCGCCAGGCCCGCGGCGATGGAGGGGCGGCTGAGAGACTGGCCCCGCCCCGCGGACCCCGCGCGGGTCCCCAGACGGGGGGTGGCGCTGCGGGCGCGGGCGGGCGCCGCGCGCACTGCGGTCCCCGCGCCTCCGCCGCAGAGCGCGCCACGCTCCGCACGCACCTGCCGCCGCGCCGCGCTGCCCGGAGCCCCGCGCCATCGCCCGAGGTCGCCGCCGGAGCCGCGGGAGCCGCCGGGCCGAGGCGCGCGCGTCGCATCCGGGCCTGCCTTTGAGACAACCTCTGCGGCGGCGGCGCGCGGCCCGGGGACGCCAGGCTGGGGCAGGTGAGCTCGGGCGGGGCGGGACGGACGCGGGGTCGCGACTCGCCGCCCCTTCCCACCCGGGCAGGGCTTGGGCCGTGGGGGCGGGGGCTGGGGCGGAGGCTGGGTCCCGAGTCCAGCGAGGGTTAGGGTCAGAGGTCGGGCGCCCTGTCTTTTGTGCAGGGTGAGGGTGGGCCCGGGCGCTGCCCTCACGCTGTCTCTCACCTGCAGCTCGGGCCTGGTCCAGGCCTCTCTTCTGCTCCCGCCGCCGCCGAGCCCGCGGCCTGGGGCCTCCCGCAGCCAGGGCTCAGGCTAGCTGCCTTCCCTGGGCGCCCTGTCCTGGAGCCATGGGGCCCACCTAGCCCCTGCCTGCCCGGATGTCCCTGCTCAGGGACTGCTGACCTCGGCTGCAGGGGGAGCTCCCCCCACGCCCCCTCGCCAGCCTCAGCAGCCAGAGACCCTGGGTGAGCCTCTGGGCCAGACCTGCAGCCCAGGGCAGCCTTCCATACCCCCCTGCCCCCGCCTCCCTCCTCCTCCCCCGCCCCTTCCTCCTCCTCCTCCTAGGACTGGACCAGAGAAGCCACTGGGGGGGGCCCTGCCCCCCCAGCTCTCGCCGGCCGCCCCCAGGAGTCCTCGGGGCGGCCGGGGTCCCCACCAGGCCTGGCGGGACCAGGATGCTGCTCCCTCTCCTCCTCCCCGGCCTCACCCAACGCCCCCACCCACCCGAACACCCAGTCTAACTGGAGAGAGCCGGATGCCGGTTGACCCTGGGCCCGAGGTGGGCAGTGGCTGGCCAGGCCTCCTCATGTCCTGCCTGAAGGGCCCCCATGTCATCCTCAAGATGGAGGCCATGAAGATTGTTCACCCTGAGAAGTTCCCTGAGCTGCCGGCGGCTGCCCCTTGCTTCCCACCTGCACCGCGGCCCACCCCTGCTCTGGCACCCAAACGCGCCTGGCCCTCAGACACAGAGATCATCGTCAACCAGGCATGTGGGGGGGACATGCCTGCCTTGGATGGGGCACCCCGCACCCCTCCCTTGCCACGACGGCCCCGAAAGGGCAGTGTGGAGTTGGGCTTCCCCCGAGTGGCGCCAGCAGACGAGGTCATTGTGAATCAGTACGTGGTGCGGCCTGGCCCTGCCACCTCGGGGCCCCCCGCTACAGCGGCACCAGCTTCAGGTGAGCCCCTGGAGTGCCCCACCTGCGGGCACACGTACAACGTCACCCAGCGGCGGCCCCGAGTGCTGTCCTGCCTGCACTCCGTGTGTGAGCAGTGCCTGCAGATTCTCTATGAGTCCTGCCCTAAGTACAAGTTCATCTCCTGTCCCACCTGCCGCCGCGAGACTGTGCTCTTCACGGACTACGGCCTGGCTGCACTCGCCGTCAATACGTCCATTCTGAGCCGCCTGCCACCTGAGGCACTGACCGCCCCGTCCGGTGGCCAGTGGGGGGGTGAACCCGAGGGCAGCTGCTACCAGACCTTCCGGCAGTACTGTGGGGCCGCGTGCACCTGCCACGTGCGGAACCCGCTGTCCGCCTGCTCCATCATGTAGCACCCACCCGCTCACCACTGCCCGCCAGTCCTTGCTCGCCGCTTCTTCAGGGATCCGGCCCTGCCCTGACACCCGTTGACCCCTCGCCCACCACAGCTTCTGGCCCCTACCCATGTGGCATTGTCGCTGCAGCCAACTCTGCCATTAAAACTCTTTGCCAAAGTTTGCACCTTGTTCCCTGGACTGAAGCCTGCTCTTGTGGCCTGTGCCCAGGGCTGCAGCCCAGACAGGGTCCAACCAGAGGTAGGCCCAGTGCCGCTTGGGGTCAGCCTGCTCTGCTTGCTGGGGCCAGGCTGGGCCAGGCACGGCACTCAGGAGGGCTGGGCCTGGTTGTGTGTATGTGTGTGCATGCGAATGCCCCACGTATCTGTGCAGAGCCAGCCAGCCTCCTGTGTGTGGGCAAAGGCGTGTCCTCTGCACTGGCTACTGGAGGTGGGGGCAGCTGGCTGGGGGACACCTCAGTCTCTCAGGCTCCTGGTACCCACCAGACCCTCTGAGGTTGTATGGGAATGGCCTCTGAGCCAGTCTGAGCCAGGGTCGAGACAAAGGCTGCCTGAGACCATGGTGGGGTAGGAGGACCCAGGGGCCTTCGATCTTGTACTCCACTACCTGGACTTGGGAAGGAAGCTTTGTGGTGGAGTGGGGAGAGGAGGGTTGGGGAGAGCCGCAGGGTGCCGAGGGAGGGGTAGAGACGTCGAGAACATGGGACGAGGTCTCGGTGGCAGCTGCTGTGTATTGAGAGCCATTTCTTGGGCCAGGCACAGCACTCAGCATGTCACCCACCAACCCGTGAGGTCGTGCAGATTGTGTCTGTCTTTTAGATAAAGGTCCCAGGCTCAATGACAGGAGGTTACAGGGCACTCAGGGGCCTCGGGTCAGTGCTGCCCAGCCCCAAGGCCTAGTCGTTCGGGGACGTGTGCTGGACACCTGGCCGCTGGGGCCACCCCCTTGGGTCCTGACCCAGTGAGTGAGGAAGCTGTCTGTGGCCTGAGCTGGCACAGCAAGGGCCCCTCCCCTCTGCTGCCCTGACCTTCAGGGAAGACACACTGGCCCTTCTCTGGAACATGACAAGGTGGGGACCCTGCAGCCCCTGCCCAGGGCCCCACCCTCACCAAGGAGTCAGCTCAATACCAGCCTTCTGGGTTCACTTTTGCGTCCGCTGTGTCCCTCTTGCAGACAGGCCGGGTGGGTCAGGGAGAGGGGGGTGAAGTCAGGCCACAGGCCTCCTCCAGCACTGCCCACGGGCACCAGTAGTTAGCGTCAGGCGGCAGGGTGGTTTGAAGTCTCTGGCTCCTGGGTAGGCCTGGCCCCAGACCCGGGTCTGGATTGAAGGCTCGTGCCCGGCTCCGTCTCAGGCTTTTCAGTTTGGTCATCAGGCCTCAGGGCCAGCCTGGGGCTCCTGGTCCGTCGGTGGCCAGGACTGAGGCCCGGTGGTGCCGGTGGCAGGTGTGATAGGCCCTGCTCAGTGGCCAGAGCGGTCCAGCAGCACGAAGAGCAGCCCCAGCAGCATGAGTGGTGCGAAGATGAGCAACAGGCCCAGGAGCTCGAGGGCCAGCAGGCCCAGCAGTGCTAGGCGGCGGGTGCAGGGCCCTCGCTCCCGCAAGGCCCAGAGCCAGGCACCCAGGCAGGGCGGGCAGGGTAGGAAGGGTAGGCAGCCCTGGCCGCCCACGGGCCCCGCCAGGAAGCGTAGCTGGTAGCGGTGTTCTAGGGAGGCCCAGGGCCCAGGGCCCCGGCGGGGAGGCGCAGGGGGGCTCGGGGGCCGTGGGCCCTGCGGCCGGTCTGCCTGCAGCAGTTCCTCCTGCAGCCGGCAGATCTCCCACTCAAGCATGGGTGTCTTCTGACGACACAATGGGCAGCACACCTGGCCCAGGTTGGCGCTGGGGGCTGTGCCCAGCAGCTGGTGCAAGCAGCCCACGCACAGGCCGTGGCCACAGTTCAGCAGGGCCAGGCGGTGCTCACTGGGCCCGTAGGGCTCTGTGCAGATGGGGCACTCCTCCTCCCGCCACTCCCCTGCCTGATCCCCAGCCACATCCTCCCTTGCTTGCCCAGCCCAGGGGCAGGCTGTGGCCGTGGCCCCGAGCAGGGGCTCACTGTCTAGAGCCCCAGCACCCTGGGCGTTCCTAAGAACCCTGCTGTCCAAGTCTTGCTCTGCCAGCGCTTGGCGCGGGGGGGCCAGGCACTCCGGGCCCAGAGAGGCTGAAGGCAGACCAGTGAGTCCAGAGCTGAGGTCACAGGGGCCATGAGTGGGGGCCCTGGGGCAGGAGTTCGGATGGGTGGGCGGGGTCCCCAGGGTGGCGACCAGGGTGGTCGTGGCTGTGAAGGTCAGCGTGGCCCTCTGGGCACGGGCAGGGTCTGGCACTGACCTCGAAGCAGCGGCAGCCTGGTCCCCAGCGCCCAGCTCCTTGCCCCACCCTGGAAAGTCACGGTCGCTTGGGCCGGCTCCGGGCAGCTCTTGGGCCCACAGGTGCCGTCTCCACCGGATCTGACCCGACCCAGACGTGGCCACGGCCCTCCGCTGTGTTCGCAACTGACGGACGGAGGGACGGACTCCAAGTGGCAGCCTTGTGGGTAGGCCAGCCAGCCTGACTCCTCCTACAGGAATTCCCCTCGGGACCCTGAAGGCCCCTCCCAGGGGCGGGGACAATGGCTGCCCCGCCCCCCGCCTTCCCGCCCCCGCCGGGGACTGCTGCTCCCGGGCTGGGAAGGAACGGTCAGTACGCGCCCTACCTTCCAGGGCCCGCTTAAGGCTGCCCCCTGCTCTTCAGAGCCAGGGCAGACCTTGTACAAAGTGGGCAAACAGCCGGCACACATCACAGTAGAATCAGACCCCTAAGTGTTGCAACAAAGATGGCTGAGCAATGGTGCAGTGCCCACCATGGACGGCTGTCCCCATCCAGACCCGCTGTGGGCCACCCAGCCCCGCGAGGCACCAAGAGCTGTCCCCATCCAGACCCACTGTGGGCCATCCAGCCCCCCGAGGCACCGACAGTCACAAGGGAGAGCAGGTCAGAAGCAGCCACCCAGAACCCACAATTTATTACTGAAGCTTTCCAGGAGTGGGGCGGGGAAAGTCTGACTGGCTGGGGGGCCTCCTCCCACTGCTCTGGTCCTCACTGACTTCGGGCCCCGTGAGGCCCTGAGGCAGCACCGGGTGCTTTGTGGCAGAGGGTGACTGGGACCTGCTGTCCTCTAGGGCAAATGGCGGGGGGGGGGCATCGGGCACTCCCAGGGACCCTGCACCAGCTCAGAAGGCTCACTGGGGGTCCCTGCACCCCAGGTTCCTATGCTGTCTGGGGAGCCCCTGATGTCCATCAGGTTGCCCGCTCCTTCCTGAGGCACCGTCCCTACACAGGGTGATGCAGCCCAGGGACCACCCTGATCAGGACCCAAGTGGGGGCCAGTGGGGCAAGGCCAGCAGGAACCCTGGATGGGGGCAGGGTGGGGTGGTGAGTGGGCAGTGGTGTCGGGGCCGAGTATGGGACCCCAGGTGGACCGGAGCGAGGCTGTGCAGGGGACAGGGTGGGAGGTGATGGTGGCCCCCCGGAGGGCAGTGGCTAGAGTGGCCGAGGCCGGCAGGACGGCTCCTTAAGCCCACGTCTCACTCTGGAAACGCAGCGTCCGCTGGAGCCTGGCAAGGTAGGTAGCTGCATCAGGGGCCGAGAGTCCCCCCTGCTCCTGGAAGACCGATGTCAGGGCTTCTGCCACGTCTGCTGGCATGCACTTGGCGTTGCTGGAGGGACAGGCCAGGAGGGCTCAGTGTGGCTGGGACCCCTGAGGGCCGGCTCCCAACCCCACCCAGTGGCCCAGGCTCACCCTGCCAGGTAGAAGTAGGCACCCTGGCGGTCCAGCAGCTCCCACACCAGCGGCCCGAGCTCTCGGAGCCGATGCTGCACGTACACCTTCCGCTCCTACTGGGAGGTGGCAGGGGCTGGGGAGGTGAGTCTGCATCCTGGCCCCTTCCCCTCCCCTCCCAGCACACCCACCTGTTCCCGGGAGAAGGCCGTGAAGAGTGTCAGGCAGCCCCTCCCCTCCAGCTCCATCCACTCAGCCTCCCAGTAGAAGTCCTGGTCGCGCAAGCGGCAGCCAAAGAACAAAACGTTTCCTGGGGGAACACACAGTGGCCTCGAGGCTTGGCCCAGTCCAGCCCCAGCTGCCGCCCTGCCTAAGATCCCGTGTGCTCACCGCTCTGACCCTGGGCCACGCGCTCCTGGACAGCTGCTCGGAAAGGGGCCACGCCAGTGCCAGGGCCCACCATGATTACAGGTGTGCCTGGTGTCTGTGGGAAGGTCAGGCCCCCAGGCCGCACCCACAGTGGCACCTGGACAGGTCCTGTGGCAGGAGAGAGGAGGCATGAAGAGGCTCCGAGGACCAGGGCCCTAGCCCAGGACTGGCCGTGGTGCACAGGGGAGCACAGAGGCCCCGGGCCCAGTCCTCTACGCCCACCCTCCGGAAAGCAGGGGCCACCTTGCCCAGGATCCAGCGACGCCAGCCAGGAGGAGCAGAGGCCCCGGCGGGGCTCCTTGAGGCGGGTCTGGTACTGCACCACAGCCACGAGAATCTGCAGCCTCGAGGGGTGAGCCTGGGGGATGCGTGGTGGGTGCCCTGATCCACTGCTGTCCCTGCCTGCCACCCTGGCTTCAGGCTGCACCCACTTCACCCAGGGCTGGTCCCAGACGTAGGGTAGATGTGGAGGGTCGGGGTGACCCCCCAACCTATATGCGTCCCCGCCCTGGGCTCTGCCCCACAGGCCCTCACCAGCAGAGAGGAGGCAATGGAGAAGGCCCGTGGGCGGATCGGGGGGATGAGGTCCAGGAGGTAGTCTGCGGGGACGGCTCCGGCCGTGTGCGGGAAGTCACACAGCACCTGGGTAGAGACAGCCTCACGTGGGCTTTGGCCAGCACGGCCACGCGTGCCTGTGGCTCAGAGCCCCGGGCCTGCCCGCCTGCCCACGCCTGCTCACACCTCCAGGATGGTCCTGCGAGGCCGGTTGCAGTAGGAGTACAGCTCTTCCTGACCTTGGGGGGAACTGAAGTGCAGCAGCTTCTCCCGCTCCAGCTCATGGGGAGAGAGACAGGCCAGGAGCTCAAAGAAGGAACGGCGGGGCACACTGGCAATGTCCAGGTAGTGGGACACAAGGTGCCTCACGGAGCAGGGCTGGGGCAGCCGCGCAGGGCAGGGCACACCTGCAGTGGGGGGCAGGACACGGCGGAGGGCTGAGTACGCCAGCAGACCCCCGCGGGGGGCGGAGAACGGGTGGCCACGGCCGGGCCTCCCCTGGCCCCTGGCGCTCACCTGGCTCCCGGGGCAGCAGGGTGAAGTTCTGCTCTGGGTCCAGGCCCAGCACCTGGCAGAACCGCTGGGTGTGGCTGGCCGCGTTCTCAGGCTGGATCAGCACCACGTCGCCAGCTGCAAAGCTGTGTGGGAAAGCCGCAGGGAGGAGTGAGGGGGTGTGGGCCGGGCACCGGGGGCACAGGGGAGGGCGCCAGGGGGATGGAAGCAAGAGTCCAGGGAGGGCCGGGGTGAGGGGTCCTCGGACAGAAGCGTCTCCCTGCCGCCTGGCCCGTACCCCTCCACCCTGCTGAGTGCCTGCTCTCCAGGTTTGGGAGCGGACCTTCTGCACCCCCAGCCACGGCCCCCCACTGCCCGCCTGGTGTCTCAGGCCCCTCACCTGAGCCCAGAGCCTGTGATGTCGAACTCCATCAGCCGAACGTCCTGGAAGTGCGAGGGGCCGGTGACTCTCTGGTTGGTGACCATGGGTGCCAGGAAGGGCTGCTGCTCGGATGGGGGACCTTGAGGCTCTGTGCCAGCCGCGCGCTGCCCCTCAGAGCACACCCTGGGGGCCACCGGGAGGAAGTGCAGCGTGAACTTGGAGGGCAAACTGTGGAGAGGGACATGCCGGTCAGGCTGCCAGCAGGGCCTCTGGCCGCTCCGCTGCACCTGTCGGCCCACACTCACGGGACTCCGGCGGGGATCGTGCCAAGGTCAAGGGGCACGGGGTACAGCCCCAGCACCTTCCCCCATAGATCGGGCAGCCAAGGGTCGATGGCAGCATCAGGCCTGGAGAGAGAGCGTGTGCGGGCTAGTCTGAGGGGCCCCTGCTCCCAGGCCCTGCAGGGCAGCGCTCCCCACTCCACTCACCCCAGCTCATGCTGGTCATCGCCCAGGCACACGGGCAGGAGGGCGCGGCCCCCAAGCTGCAGCAGCCGACGGTGTAGCTTCTTGGCCACAAAATTGAACCTTTGGAGGGAGAGTGAGGCTCGGGCAGGCTCCAGCCCCAGGGCCGCAGGGTGGCGAAGGGGAAGCAGCCCCAAACGAGCCCACAGCGCCTCGCAGGGAACGCTGTCAGTAGGAGGGGCTCCCCACCCCCACCCCCCTCGTGCCTGTGTTTGCGCCACCACACACAAGTGTCTACGGGAGGCACGGAACAAAACCCCCAGCAGGGGAGTGTCACACCGCTGCTGTCCCAGCCCCCCTCCGGCTGCACCTGGCTTTGGAGGCGGCAGCACCCAGCGGGCCCTCCCTCAGCCCCTGCGCACACGGTTGGGGGTTTCCACGATTCAGTGACCTGACGACTCGCATACCCTTAAATGCAAAGCCCTCGGTGCTGCTTTAGGAAGGAAAGGCAACATACCCTTAGCTTGGGACATACGTGTGTCCTGAAGATCTAAGAGGTGGTCACTCCGCCATACCCAGGGAAACAGTGGCCTTGGGGTGGCTCCCAGGGGCTGGGGGGCTTTGGGGCCCCTCTCGCTTATCCCCACTGCACCGTTCTCTGCTCTCTTTGTACACCCAAATATCTCCCGACTACGTGCTTTCCTAAGAGTGCAAGGAGTCAGCAGGCCTTTGCTGCTCTGGGTCCCATGTCCACTTAGGATGCTGGCCAGGTCCAGACATCACCCCCTGCCCTAGAAGACATCCCCACTTTGCTGCCCTGCCAGCCTCCGGTCTGTTCCCTGCGCACCCTTCGAAACCCCGCTGCTCCCCGGTGGTCCCTGCAGAAGCAGGACGCACAGCCTGGTCCCAGCCCGAGGTCCAGCGGGAGCCCCGGGGGCCGAGTCAACCGTCCCTCTACAGCACGCTTTGTGCTCAACCCCGAGGACAGTCCTCGTGGGCCAGCAGCCCTCCCGCCCCTACTCACTTGGCATACGAGGAGTCGCCGAGGCCCAGGACGGCAAAGTCCATCTGACAGAGGGAGGTCGGTGGCAGATTCTTCCGGAATATGAACCTCCAGAAGTTCTACAGCCAGGAGAAGCCAAGTTAGAGGTCCTGCTCTAGACCACCGGGGTCCCAGGGTAGGGTAGGGAGGAGCTGCATGCTGGACCCACCCTGCTCCTCTAGACCTTTGTTACTAAAACAAGACCGGTTTTTATTCTATCAGGATGGCAAAAATAAATAAATACATAAATAATTGGGAAAAGGCAGAAAGTCATAAAAAAGAAAGTTGCCCAGGGGGCGCCTGGGTGGCTCAGTAGGTTGAACCTCTGATTCTTGGTTTCAGCTCAGGTCTTGATCTCAGGGTCGTGGGATTGAGCCACATGCCGGGCACCACGCTGCTCAAGATTCTCTCCCCTCCCTCTCTGAAATAAGTAAATCTTAAAACAAAACAAAACAAAACAAAACATAGAAAAAGAAAGCAAGCACGCTGCCCCAGAGCCACCACCAGAAGGTGGAGCTTCACCCCATCCTGGGCAGAGGACTCGGAGAGAAGGCTGCTGGGGTCCAAAGCAGGGAGGCCACGGCTGCTGCCCGCCCCCCAGGTCTCCCCAAGGTGGGGGAAGCCCCTGCTTCTGCTCGGGTCTCCCCTGGCCACGGCTACGCCTCTGTGCCAAGAGTCCTGTGTCCCGAAGGCCCCTCCACCCCCAGCTCTGAAGCCCGGGCGGCCACAGGCACCCCTGCAGCCCCCAGGGGTCTTAGTCCCCCCCCCCTCAGTGGAAGGTGAAGTTTCTCTCCCTTGGGAGCCCCCTCCGGGCCCCAAGCCCCCATCAGCGTGCTTGGTACTCAGTGCTGCCCCCGCGGCTTCCCACCTAACTCGCTGTGCAGGCTGAGGACCCAGAGCTGTGCCCTTCCCCAGGGCATGCTCATCCCCACTGTCTGGCCATCCCAGACCCCCAAGGTCACAGCCCGGTGCCTCTCCTTCCCACCGGGGGGCCCTCACGGTCCTGGGCCTCTGTCCCAGCCTCCGGGGGCACTTTGCCAACACAGATCACCTTCAGCCCGCAGCGGCCTGAGCCCTGGTGACACCTACTTCTGTGTGCGGTCCAGGACTTGAGCTGCACTCCACCTCCCCTCTGCTTCTTAGCTCTAGAGACAGACGCCCCCTGGGGTGGAGGGACCCCGGCCCTGTCCAGGCACAGCTCTGCCCACTGGCCCTGGGCCACCCCTGGCCTCCCCAAGGACTGTGCTGCATCAGCCCCTGCTGGGGACTACACCCACTCTGCCTCCGGGGACCTCTCCTGTGCGCTCCTCCTTAGAGACCGGTTTCCTGAAGCCTGCAGAGAACGTCCTTCAGGTGCTTGCTGAGAAGCAGCCCAGTGAACGTACACCTCTCACAGCTCTGCATCTGAGCATGCCCGGGCCCTCCCTTCACAAGGGCCGGCAGGTTAGCGGGGAACACTGCCACGGGAAATCCTCTTTCCGAAGAGCCCGAGGCCCTGCTCCCAGCTGGTCCAGCTGGGCCACGGGGGCCGAGAAGCCAGTGTCCTCCCGTGTCCTGCTGTCTGTCCCCAGGAACCGCAACCACCACCACGTGGCGGGGGCCTTCCCATCCAGGTGGGCCCTTCCCAGGCGCGGGCGGGCTCTCTCCGTTCTGGGACATCGTGTGACGCTCTGGTCAGTCTTCCCACTCTGTGGTTCGCCTTCTGAGGTTACTGGAATGACCTTAGGGTTTTGATTTGTGTCCTAGCTCATTTTTTGTTACACATTCCAGTAGAATGTCTCAACTTCACTCTCTGATCTTTTCAAGTTTTCCTGACATTGTTTTCAAGAGCATTTCCTCTGTTTACAGGTTCGTCCTGTTTCATGTGCTCTTGTCTCGCGGGTGCCGGGCTCTGGAGGGTCTGCCCGTCTCTGCTCCTCCAGGTTACGTCTGCGCTTGTCTTGGTCTTTCAGTGGCGCCCTTCCCTGAGGCTGTGGTGGTTCTTCACGGTTCCCCTGGACTTCAGAAGCTGACAGAAAACCGTGAGTTTGGGCCTGTCACCCAGTGTGGGTTTCCCGGCCAGGATCCTGCTGGGTCTTCTGTGGTTACTCACTTTCCTGACAGAGGGCTCCCCGTGTCCGCTGCCTGGGAGCCCGGGCCTGGCTTCAGGGTTCTGAGGGCCGAGGCAAGGCAGCCAGCATTTGGTACACAGCTGGTCACTGAGCCAGGTCTTCAGCAGGACCCATGCCCCCTCCTCCGCGTCCCTGGGCCCTCAGTCCGCAGCCTCTCCCAGGAGCCTCCAGGCCCCGCTGTGGTTGCGGAGGGCTCTCTCCTGTCCACGTCCACGGTGGGGTCTATGCCTGCCATCTTCCTTGTCCACCCTCATTCAGGGATGACCAGCACCTCCTTCGTGCTGCTGGTGTCTGATACCCCGTCTGTACCCCAGCCGACCTCCTCCAAGTCTTTGTCTCCCCTCCCCTCCCTTGCCCTGTGCCCTGGGTATCCACCCTCCACCTCCTGCTTCTGGCTCCCAGGTCTGCCTTCTCTTCTGCCCCTCTTCCTGTCTGAGGAGACCCCCCCGATCGTGCTGGGGTCTCAGCCCCAGGTCTCCTATGTCATCCCCGGGTGACCTTGTTCTTCAAGCTCAAGCCTCTTTCTCCCCCAGACTCCCCACTCCCAGCATTTAACAGGTCTCTCTCTTCTTTTTTTTTTAAGGATTTTATTTATTTGAGAGTGAGCAAGCAAGCAAGAGAGCACAAGCTGTGGGGGAGAGGCATGAAGGAGAAGCAGACTCCTTGCTGAGCAGGGAGCCCGATGCAGGGCTCAACCCCAGGACTCGGATCATGACCTGAGCCGGAGGCAGACGCTTAACTGACTGAGCCCCCCGGGCGCCTCATCTCGCTCAACTTATTAACACCTTCTTTCCGACCCCTTCGCCCCAATCACAGCCAGAATCATTTGTTTGTTTCCTGTAGGCTCCACGTTGGGCGTGGAGTTTAAACTCACGACCCTGAGATCACAACCTGAGCTACGATCAAGAGTCAGACACCCAACCGACTGAGCCACCCAGGCGCCCCTTTTGTTTCACGTAGAGACATTCTTAAGATTCTCTCCACTCACTTAGTTCTCGACCCCGTGACTCACTTCTCTCCCTGCGAGTCACTGAAACTGCTCTCCCCAAAGTCACCAGCAGGCCCTTTGCTGATAAACCAATGCTGCTCAGGCCTTATCTCACTTCTGTGCAGCTTTGAGCGCTGGAAACCTTCCTCTCAGAAGTCACCTCTGTGCCCTTGACCTTGGATTTGGTACACTCCCTTTTTGCTGCTGGGGCCACTTTCCTGACCCTCACAGGCTTTCCTCCACCTCTCATGCCCTTGGTTTTCAGGGCAATCTGTCCCAGGAGAGAGGGAGAGCTTCCTTTCTCATGCCTCACCCAGGATACTTGCTAGAGCTCCACACCAACCTTGCACCTCGACCTGAATGACTCCTAGCACTTGACCTCCCTGGTCTCTATCTCTGTGCCCGGAACTACCAGCCATTCTGGTCCCCGAGCCCGAATCCCTGTTTGATTCCGTGTCCTCTCGATTCTACCCTGACATCTCCGGAGTGTGTCTATTTTTCTCTACTGCCTGCCACCCTCCTGGTCCAGGCCGCCAGTCTCGCCTGCACTGCGCATACTCTGGAGCTGTTCTCGCTCTGCTATAGCCCATCCCCCCTCTTGACAAGGGGCAGTTTTGCTAGAGTACAAATGTGACTGTGTCACCCGGTGGATTCCACAGCCCTTCACTTCCAGTCCTTCCACCTTGCTGTGGCTGCTGGGCTCCTTGGGATCAGGTCCAGCTTCCTGCCTCTCTTCTCCCCTCCCACCCTGATGCTCTCCTTGGCTCTGTGCTACTGAGCTGCTTTCACTCTTCCCACTCTACCCTCTGCACAGGCTTCCTCCTCTTGCCTGGCCAGCCCCCACTTATCCTCAGGACTTAGCCTACACACCTTTCTTCTCGAGAGCTCTCCCTGAGCCCCGAGGTTGGGCTGGATAGCTTTTATGAATGCCCCCAGGACATCTGGTACTTTCCCTGGCAGTATGTATCTCCTAGTATTGTAAGTGCCTGTGAAAGTTGTTGCTTGTGCTATAATGTGAGCTCCATGAGGACAGAAATAGGTTCATGGCTGGATTCCCAGCACTAGATCATGCTTGGAATAGAATGTGTACTCAAAAGACGTTCACAAAGAACTGAAGAATGTTCTGGGAAGGTCCACCAGTTCTGAAATACACACACAGACCCAGACTTGATTCATACACAGCCCCAGAGAAAATAGTGCAGGTTAAAATGGAGAACAAGGCTATTTGGTGGCCTGTGAAGAGTTTATTAGGGAGGACAGCGGCGCCAGAGCCCCCAGCTCCATCCGAAGATACCCTTCCCAATCCAGAGCTCACGTGCAGCGGTAGGTATAGGAGGGCAAGTGTTTATCGTGCTTCTGGGACTCTCCAGGCAAAGAAAACAGAGTGAGGGTCCAGGGCAGGGATCTGAGCTCCTGAGCAAAGAAAGCCTTCGGGTCGGCCTTACCTTCATGTTGTCAGGGGGATCTCCTTGGCCTGTAGTTGCACAAACAAATATCACCAGGGTCTCATTAATCAGATTCACCTCAACAAAAAGACACACGTGTAAGACCTCGGGCTGTAACGACTAGGCACCCTCTCGGCAGCCTGGCGCCCTCTCCCTCGCTCACGGCGGTAGGACACCACCTCAGTGGGCGCCGCGAACGGCCGGCCGGCCGGCCCTTTTTCTCTTTCGGGCTCCACCCTCCCACCTTGCCTGCTCCCTCCCTCCATGCGCTGAGCCAAGCCACTGTCCCCAGGTTCTCCCGCCCCCTAAACCCGCCATAAACGAAGGGCCTGCTGTCAGACAAAATGCGGCGCCCTGCGGTCGAGGGCTCGGAGCGGGGCTGGCGCCCCAGGCCTGCTCGGTCTCCCCGCCGAGGCCCTAGGGCGCCCTCACCACTGAGTAAGAGTCCAGGGCCTGCACCCGGCAGTCGAGCCGCCGGCGCCGAGCCTCGCGGCCCAGCCTCTCCGACACATCCTGAGCCGTGCCTGTCTGGCTGCCGAAGAGCACCAGAAGGCCCGGGCTCGGCATCGGGACGACCGGGAGACGCCCGCACCCAGGCACCGGGCCGGCTAACAGCTCCCACAAGCCTGGGCGGCCCAGGCCCGCTTGGACTTCCGACTTCCGGTGGTGGCCGGAAGTGACGCCTTCAGGCCGCGCCCTGCAGGGCATGGCGTCCGAGAGAGGCGGGCGTCCGCTCGCGGCCAGTACTGGGTCTCGGGCCGGGGCCAGGGTATTGGCGGCACGCCCGGGCCGAGGGCCGGGACAGGCAGAGCCGCTCGCTGTCTCCCGCTCGCAGCAGCGGCGCCGGCGGCAGGCGCCGGCGAGACCCGCGGGGAGAGGAGGAGCAGCTCCGCCGGTGGGACGCTCGGCCGGGCCCCGGCCCGCGCTCAACCGGCGCGATGCTCTTCTCCCTCCGCGAGTTAGTGCAGTGGCTGGGCTTCGCCACCTTCGAGATCTTTGTGCACCTGCTGGCCCTGATGGTGTTCTCCGTGCTGCTGGCACTGCGTGTGGACGGCCTGGCCCCCGGCCTCTCCTGGTGGAACGTGTTTGTGCCCTTTTTCGCCGCCGATGGGCTCAGCACCTACTTCACCACCATCGTGTCCGTGCGCCTCTTCCAGGACGGAGAGAAGCGGTTGGCCGTGCTCCGCCTCTTCTGGGTCCTCACGGTTCTTAGCCTCAAGTTTGTCTTCGAGATGTTACTGTGCCAGAAGCTGGTGGAACAGACTCGGGAGCTCTGGTTCGGCTTGATCACGTCTCCAGTCTTCATTCTCCTGCAGCTGCTCATGATCCGCGCCTGTCGGGTCAACTAGCCTCGCAGAAAGGCCGGAGAGAGAACTCTGGATAGCTAGGATGCTGGACCCCAAGCTGAGGTCCCACTTCCACCGCACCAAAGGAGAAGTCTGGGTCTGAAAGCAAAGTCAGCTCCTGCCCTGGCGAGTGCCTAGTTTTCTCTATACCAATCATATGTCTAAAATTGTTCCCTCAGCAGGGCAAAAAAGAGCAGCCTTGATCCTTAAAATGTATTTCTTGTTATTTCATGCTTTGAATAGCTAATCCTGAATTGAGATGCTGAGAAGTACCCAGGCCAGACAGTGCAGAATTCCTCTGACAGTTGCAAACTGCATATATGTAAAATGCCCCGATGGGCTCTGAGTATTTTCATGGATCTTGGAAGAGTACTCCTTGTGCAAAGGCTGCAAAGCCGGACTCGGGGATTTCCTCTGCCCAGCAGCGCTGACCTAAAAGAGCCCACTGCCCCATCCAGCCAGACAAGACTTAGATGCTTGAGCTCTAAGTGGTGTTTACGAGCTTGTGTCTTCTCCCCTGAGCCACTGGGGAGGATGGCCCTTTCTTCATTCCAGCCCAGGCAGACAGGCATATGTTGGATAAGCATTGACTGGGACCCTCTATTTGTGGAGATCTGCCCGAGAGAACCTTGCTTATAAAGCACTGCTTGGCTTCCTATCCCAGTCAATTGCAACTTCTCCACCACCTTGTGGCCAGCACTGTTAGCACACCTGAGACAGATTTAGGCCTCCCTAAGGGACCAGAGAGAGGAACAGCTTTGATGCTCACAGGCACTGAGACCTGCAAATGGTCTTGGCCCACGTTTGTTGGGCTGGGGTCTTTAGTTTAATGCCAGTCAGGTGCCAAGTCAAATGAGAACGTTTGCTGAGATAAAAATAAAATAAGAATGTTTTGCTGAGATGTACAGTGGTTGCCTGAGCTCTTAAGGGTGAAACCAGATGAATGCTGAGATGCTCCCCCCTGTGTCATGTAGCTGGTTACAAAGCTGACTGTGGGAGACTGGAATGTACTAGAGCTTCATTGGTGGATGGGGGCATTCCCTCGGAGAAGCCTGTCTTCCTGCCCGGGGAGCCAGGGTGAAGACAACATAGGGTAGGCCTGTGTTGAGGCACTGCTGAATAGTTTGTGTGACATCAGAGCCTTGTCTTCCTGCCAGTGTGTGGTCTTTATAGGCCTTGCTGTGGAGCAGGGGTCAACAAACTCTGGCCTGAGGCATGTTTTTGTACTGCCCATTAGCTGAGAGTGATTTTTTACATTTTCAAAGGGTTATAAAAACAAAGACCATGTGACAGCAAGTGAATGTGGCTTGCAGTTGGCACTCTTGGCCTTTTGGGTCAAATCATTCTTTGCTTGGGATGGGTGGTGGTGCTGTTCTGAGCATTGTAGAATGTTTAGCAGCATCCCTGTCCTCTACTCGCTAGACGCCAGGAGCACCCCTCACTTGTGACAAGCAGAAGTGTCTCCATACACTAACAAGTCTGGGAGACAAAGCTGTCCCTGGTGAGAACTGCCTAAAAATAAAATATTTACTGTCTGGCCCTTTACAGAACAGATATGCAGACCTTTATTTTAGTGAAGCAGCTTTGTGACCCTCTGCCTAGAATGGATGCTGCATGGCCTGAGCCATTGAGATTCTTGCATTGGAGACTGGTCTGGTTTGTCCCACAGCTACAACCCAGGATTGGCATAATTTGTGTCAAAATCAGATAGAAGATGAACATTGCCGGTGGGTTTCCTTTATTTTTTATTTTTATTATTTAAAGTTTGTTTACATAATCTCTACAGCCAACGTGGGGCTCGAACTCAGGACCCCGAGATCAAGAGTCACATACTTCTCTGACTGAGCCAGCCAGGCACCCTGGCAGTGGGTTTTCTTTTAATGTTATTTTTAGGTTGCATGTTTTGTTGTATCCTGTTTTATTTTGTAGTTCAGAATTGAGTGATCCTGTTGCTATAGAAGTGATGAGCATAAGAAGGCTTAGTTTCCTTCGGAAAAGTGATTTGACCAGAGTCCTGAAAAGGAGACACTTGACCTCTGGAAGGCTGAAATCCAGTTTATTTTCTTGGCTTAGTAGAGTGGAAAGGAGTAAGTCAATGTTAAAGTAGTTGTAGTGCAGACCACTATGGGACCCGGAAGCTGGGAAGGCACCCCAGGTTGAAACCTGCCCGCAGCCTATGTGGACCCCCAGGTGTCCTTGGAGCCCTGTCCCTGAAAGGGAGTGTCCCACTCCTTGAAAGGTGAGTGCCATTACTGAGCAAGTGCTGAGTGCAGGAGAGGTGAGGGGAAGGCAGGTAGCATCCCTCTGTGTCAGTGCCCCCTAATCTCATCTCTCCTTGGCTTCACTGGGCCTCAAAAGTGTGGTGGGGGCTGGGAGTGAGCTTCTTCACAGCAAGGGCAAGAAAGCTGGGCCCTTAAGGTCACTGGCACCCCTACTAGCCTTGGGATGGGGGAAGTTCAGAAGATGAAAGAGGAGTGTGGGGAGGCAACAGGGTGGAATGCACAGCCTGCCTTTCGTGGCTGTCTGCATTGGAGAGCTTTCTCTGTGCCTCCTCACAGCTTCTGCACTCCTGTTCCTGCTCAGTGGGCCCTGGATGGCAAAGTGTGGGGTAGGGCTTCTGCCACTTGTGTGGACAACAGAGTGAGTTCTGGGGGCTGGCAAAAGTTAGGGGTTCCTGAGAAGCAATTCCTCAGCACTGTGTGGGGCTCCAGCATTAGCCTCTCCAAGTCCTGCAGAGGACCTAGGACCACAGGTGGGCAGTCCCTGGACCAGCGGGGACAGCTTTCCAGTCCTGGGCAGGCTCTTCTTCCACTGCGTTCTGAGCGTCAGGAACAGGTGGACTGGGTGCTGGCACGACGAGGAAGGACCGAGCCCAGCCAAGGTCACCCACCTAGCTGCGCCCAGGGGCCCGTCTGGCATTGCCGGCCTGGACCCAGCCCCGCCGGGCTCCGCCCTCCGGTCCTCGCAGGCCAATGGCGCAGAGGCGGAAGTGGGGCCGCCAATGAGCGGCGAGGGGTCGGAGGCGCGTCCAGGAGGGCCGTCCCCAATGGAAACCGGCTCGGAGACTGGCGCTATCCAGCTAGGCGCCCCGGGAAAGAGAGGTCAGGGAGAGCAGTCTCCAATCAGCGCGGCTGGCCGTTCTCGTCTGCCATAGGTGGGGCCGCGGGCCGCGGGGCGGGTCCGAGCCGGCCCCTCCCCAATAGACGGGGGCCGGGGGGCGTGGCCGCGGCGCTAAGGCCGGCGGCTGGCGGCTACCGCAGTTCCCCGCGCACGCTGGCTCCGGCGCTCGCTCCACAGCATGGCCGGCCTGGGGCGGCCGGGCCCGGGGCCTCGCGCCGCGCTGCCCGCCTGGAAACGGGAGATCTTGGAGCGGAAGCGGGCCAAGCTGGCCGCCTTGGGCGCGGGCGCGGCACCCGAGACTGGGGCCGAGGCGGGCGCGGCGGAGACCTCGGAGCCGGCGGCCGAGCGGCTCGTGCTGGCCGAGAGCCTGGGCCCGCTGCGCGAGAACCCGTTCATGCGGCTCGAATCGGAGCGGCGGCGCGGGACGCGGCGCGGAGGGGGCGAGGGGCCGGCGGGGGCGCGGCCGGTGCAGCAGCTGCTGGAGCTGTACCGCCGCGTGCCGGGTGTGCGCACCATCCACGCCGACAACATCCTCATCATCGAGTCGGCACCGGGCTTCCCGCCCGCTGGCCCCGGCCCGGGCCCTGGCCCGGCCGCCCGCATCCGCGCCGCTGAGGTGCTCGTGTACGAGGCGCCGCCGCCGCCGCCGCCCGGGCGCGTCAGCCGCCTGCTCCAGAAATTCGACGTTCTGGCCGCGCCGGTCCGCCGCAGGAGCCCGGAGCGCGGACGTACCCCGCCGCCGCAGCCACCGCCTGCTCCCGGCCCCGCCGCCCCGCGCGTGGGTGAGGGCGCCGCCTGCTTCGAGCCTGAGCGCGGTGCTACAGGCCCTGGGGCGCGGCGCAGCGACTTCCTGCAGAAGACCGGCAGCAACTCCTTCACCGTCCACCCTCGGGGCCTGCACCGCAGCGCTGGTCCTCGCCCGCTCCCCAACGAGCCTGCAGCCCCCGAGTTCCGAGCCGGCGCTGCCAACGGCCTCGCGGGCTCTGCGCCTGGGCCGGGCGAGTGGAAGCCAAAGGTGGAGTCGGGGGAGGCCCCGGTCCACCCGCCCCCCAGCCCCGGGATCCCCAGTGCCACTCCAGCCGCGTCCCTGGCCTTGCCCACATCCAGCCCTTCCAGTGCCACTCCCAGCCAGCGCCAGTGGGTCTCCGCGGCCACCAGCGCCAATGACTCCTTTGAGATACGGCCGGCCTCC